CATAAACTCGTAGCAATAATCTATACGGAGAGAATGTTTGTGAAAATTAATTTGTAATATGCGCAGTTGCCGAGAAATGGGCAATTTTGCATGAGTCACTTTTTACGCTAGTTTGCCTGTAAAAGAGTCAATTATTATTCGATTTTCATAAAAGTGACACCATTTGATGTGTAATGTCAATTTTAACTAGGTCAAACCAATTTAACATTTTCAATATCACCGGAAATGACGTAATTTGGGCAAAAATTGTATTTATAGCCTTCGAATCCAGTAATTTATTCAAATGAGTCATATTTGTTATTTGTTTAAAATTTTGATATTTGATTCAAATCAACTAATACAATGAACCCTTACGATCATATAGATATCACAAAATGGTTTCTAACTTGTTCAGTTGCGGAGAAATAGGCAATTTTCAACAGGTCACTTTTTAAGGTTTTTTGTCAATAAAAGTGTCAATTATTATTCGATTTTCATGAAATTTTCACTGTGTGATACATAATGCCATTTACGATTTCATACAAGTAATTTAAGATTTTCATTATCACCGGAAGTAACGTCATTTTGGCAAAAACTGTATTTTTAGCCTTCAAAACAGATATTTTATTCAAATGAATCAGATTTGTAATGTTTTTAAAATTATGATATTTGATTCCAATCAACAAATAGAATGAACTCATTCGATCATACAGATACCTCAAAATGGTTTCTAACTTGTACGGTTGCAGAGAAATAGGCGATTTTCTACAAGTCATTTTTCAAGGTTTTTGGTCTATAAAGGTAGCAATTATTATAGGATTTACATAAAATTTTCACCATGTGATGATGCTATTTCTGATTTCATAAACCAATTTAACATTTTCATTATCACCGGAAGTAATGTAATTTTGACAGGATCACTGACATGTAGCAAATGAATTGATTGCTGGATTTGGTTGTTTCTGCGTCCATTTTATTTTATGAATATTTTTTAGTTGTGTTTTACACAAAATTGACGAGTCATCTGACTTGAGCAAAAATCTGATTTTCTTTGTCTCAGTAATTTTGCTTGGCCGCTATTGGCTAATTCAGTTTTTCAGTCCAAGATTAATTATTTATTGTTCGATTTGTATAAAACAAAGTTCATATGCTCCGTTGTCTCAATTGCCATTTTTTTTGTTACCGATAGAGTTATCTGTCAGCACCGGAAGTGGTGTAATTTTACCAAAAACTACAATTTTGACCGTTAGGTACCACTTTTCGAAAGCAAATATTATTTTTTTCAAATCTGGTATAACTGAAAGGGTGCGCCCTTTAAAGGCGCACAAAATGTTGGGCCCAGTTTTTTTAATTTCGATTCCGTTTTCGGGCTATTTCGATTAAAAGGTGAAAAAAGGTGTAAAATTAAGCTATTTACAACCCATCCAGCGTTTTCATATTTTAAAATATTAATTCGTAACTTTCATAAACTCGTAGCAATAATCTATACCGAGAGAATGTATGTGAAAATTAATTTGTAATATGCGCAGTTGCCGAGAAATGGTCAATTTTGCACGAGTCACTCTTTACACTATTGTGCCTGTAAAAGAGTCAATTATTTTTGGATTTTCATAATTTCATAAAAGTGAAACCATTTGATGCATTATTTCAATTGTGACTAGTTCAACTCAATTTAACATTTTCAATGTCACCGGAAATGACGAAATTTGGACAAAAACTGTATTTATAGCCTTCGAAACAAATAAATTTATTCAAATGAGTCGTATTTGTTGTTTGTTTAAGATTTTGATATTTGATTCTAATCAACTAAAAGAATGAACCCATACGATCATATAAATATCACAAAATGGTTTCTAACTTGTTCAGTTGCGGAGAAATAGGCAATTTTCAACAGGTCACTTTTCAAGATTTTTTGTCCATAAAAGTGTCAATTATTATTCAATTTTCATGAAATTTTCACTGTGTGATACCTAATGCCATTTTCGATTTCATACAAGTAATTTAAGATTTTCATTATCACCGGAAGTAACGTCATTTTGGCAAAAACTGTATTTTTAGCCTTCAAAACACATATTTTATTCAAATGAGTCTGATTTGTAATGTTTTTAAAATTATGATATTTGATACCAATCAGCAAATAGATTGAACCCATACGATCATACAGATACCAGAAAATGGTTTCTAACTTGTACGGTTGCAGAGAAATAGAAGATTTTCTACAAGTCACTTTTCAAGCTTTTTGGTCTATAAAAGTGGCAATTATTATTCGATTTACATAAAATTTTCACCATGTGATGCCTTATGCCATTTCTGATTTCATAAAACTAATTGAACATTTTCATTATCAATGGAAGTACTGTACACTTACATGTAACAAATGTATAAAATGAATTGATATTGCTGGATTTGGTTGATTCGGCGTCCATTTTATTTGATGTGTGCAATGCTTATGTGGAAACCTGTTTAATGGTTTCATTGGTACCGGAAGTGACATATTTAAGGTAACGTGGCACCGGTGAAACCCGTCATTACTGCATCGCAGTTCTAGTTAATTTTATTATTATTAAGCTAAATATTTGTTTTGTTTGATTTATAAATCCGTTTCGGGAATGTTGATTTTGAGTCAGTACCCAACTTGACAGAAAAATATAACCCTGCTGTCCAATCCCCATTATGTGGGCTCCCCGACACACATTATTTTTTTAATACCATACATGTACATATATTGTAATAGTGATAAATGTACCTTTGGTTTAATGCAATATGTTTTTTTTTTGTTCTGACACTATTTATTCAATAAATATTTACATATTATAAAAGTACACTATATGATTGTGGGATCTGAAAGCAAGCCAGGGCTTATATAAATTCATCTCCCGAGGAAATTATTTACAATAAAATATAAATACTTTGTATAAGATTGTAATCATAAATCACAAACTGGTATAAAATTACAAGGTAAAAGTGTTTACTCTCATTTAATTAATCAAAACGTTACATTGGATATAGTATAAATCAGTTAAATTACGGAATGTAGTAGAAACGTAGTGGGGTTAGCGAAATTATTATCTGATGTTCATAGCACTGAAAGGGAATGCGAAACAATGGTTGTGCTAGTTGGAGAAAGAAAATATTCTTGCGATGGGCGGCATCTGGCATGGGATGGTGTTACATGGTTAGCCCTGTGTGACCTGTTTGAAAATGGGCGTCAGCTTGTCTATAGAAACTTACAGATAGCGACTTTTTGGCGCCAGTGAGAAGTCTCACGTGATTATCGTCGTGCAACATTACTTTGCGGGGTTGACTTCTCTGCTTGTGACGTCTACAGGTGGAACTTAATTCATTTGTGACTTAAAGAAGATACATTACCTTGTCTGCGATATCACCTCGGTGGAAGCGGACGTAAAATACAACTAACTAACAACAACAGATACATTACCTGGGATGTGTGCTTGTCTGCGATATCACTTCTGTGGAAGCGAACGTTAAAACAACAGGTAGCAGTAGCTTTCCAAATGTATAATTACCTCGGACATGATTTACCGATTTTTGATGTATTCGCACTCCATATGCAAATAATCGTAACATTGGACGTGATTTACTGACTTGTGATGTTTTTGTCAATGGTGGAATCATTATTTTTTTAAATGAATAATGGATAATAATACTACGGTATCCTTTTGATACTATTGGAAGCCATTCAGGTAGCTTTGTCTGAAAATGTGCGACATCTTGTATAGAGATCGACTATTTGGCGCCAGTGAAAAAGTCTCACGAGATTATCACAGTGACACGTGTACATTGCCAGGTCTTCTAGCGACGTGTACAGGTGGAAGGCTATTTTCATTCTTTTGTGATTTAAATTTGTCTGCGATATCACCTCGGTGGAAGCGGATGTAAAATACAACTAACTAACAATAATTAAAGAAAATACATTACCTGGGATGTGCTTTACCGATTTCCAATGGTATAATAACATTGGACGTGATTTACTGGTTTTTGATGTATTTGTCAATGGTGGAATCATATTTTTTTTAATGGATAATGGATAATAATACTACGACCACGGTATGGTGAGCATCTATGGGTGTGCATTTTCTTTTTATATTCGCCTTTTCTATTCGTAATTCATACGTAAATAATCGAAATCAAAATAAATGATCGGATAAACGACTTGTGGGAAATTAAACGCTTCGTCTAATATTTAAACCCTGTAGATAAATTCATCGGGTGTTAATTTTTTACGCGTCTCGGGAAGTTAAAGTGCTCGGCTAGTAATTAAACCCATTAGATAAGTAAACGTATACCCCATTTCAAAACACCTCTCGGAGAAATTCAACGGTGTACCATTAAATTAAACGATAGTACTAATTAAACGATTTTTGTAATTTTCAAGCGTTATTATCAATTATCAAACGATGTTTTGAAATTAAACTGTATGCACCGTTATTTGCGCTAAAACAACCATATTAAACGATACCAATCTTATAGTGTACGCCGACTATTATGTTATATTGACTGGAGAAAGATCAACAGCATGGCAAACATGTCTTACAGGGTAAATGGCAAACCAACAACAACCACAGCTGGGAGGAAGTCGGAAGTCATGTGACATATAATAAGAGACTCGTATGACCAGTCCCTATCATAGACTGTATCTGTTATATCACATTACAACTATCTGTTAAAGGTCAGAAAACAATACATTCTGTACACAAAGATCCATCTACTTCATGCTTCAAGAATAAATCTCTGTCCTGAATGGCCGCCATATATTGTTTTATAATGCAGTTCTACTCTGTTTCACATCTGGCATACACACAAAGACTAAATAAACATATTCAATTCCATTATATGGAAGCAAAATAAATACTTCTCAAAATTATCGAAGTATATTTTGTGTTATTGAATAAAATCGTCGATTTAGGACTTAAAATGTCGGTCAACTAGTTTAGTGTCTGTTCTCAAGCGGAGCTAACTGTAGACAGACAGCCTAAGTTTAGTATGAAAACAATACTTACACTTTACCCTGTGCCAATAACGTTTCTATCAGATACATCATTGCATTAATGTGTTGTGGGTTCTCTTTCAACGCCTCGTCAAAATCTTCTATAGCTCGTGAATAACATTCATTATTAGCATACCTGGATTAAACATATATATATATATATATATATATATATATATATATATATATCTCTATATATCTATATATCTATACACACAATCAAAAGCATCTTATACTAGTTTTTCGACATGACATGGGGAAACCAAGCTGAAAATTGAGAATCTGGAGGTTTACATCTTATTTGTTAATAAATCAGAATTTGAAAATTAGCAGCCTTTTAGTGAGCAATCGTTTGATAATCAGTTATTAGAATACATGTAAAAAAATATTTACCAAAAGACTCACCCCTGCCCCAACTAATATTTTTTGTTTTTTGGTATAATTGTGTTCTGTTCTTGAATCATTTTTGTCTATGTTTTGTTGTGCACCAATCATCATGGCTGAAACATGCTCTCAGTGTTTCTACCAGTGATGGGATTTCGCCTGTATATTCCGGACATGTCCGACGCTATTTTCCAAGCGTCCTAAATTGTCCGACCAGGAATATTCCCAATCAGACATCAAGAAATGATGAATAATATCCAAATTCCAAAATTAATATAGTGTACTGAGTGTATAACTACCACTCAACCCGACTGTCGTTGATAATAGGCTGGATTGATTAGGCAATTAAGTGATCAACTTATTTATCGTGTTATACCGTCTATACATCTACCTAATCTGCCTTGATTGGCTGACTTAATCTTTTGTTAATCTTTTGTCCGAAAATTCATCAATCCAATCCTGAACATAAGTTATTGCTTCTCCTTTGTCGGACTATGTATCAATCCAATAAGAGTAATTATAAACTTTCCATTGTCGTCCGTTTCAATCTTCTTGATGTCGGCCGACAACACATAGGAATTAGTCATATATGTCATATATCCTAATAGTATATAACACCCCAAATCAATATACATTGTAACCGATAACTTGTCTGACATATTTCATCGGTAGAAGCCGAAGTTAAATAAAGCTATTTCACACACACACGCATGGCGGTTATAGTACTATTAACTGAAATGAAAGTAGAAATCTCACGAGACACGTGAAATTAAGAGAAGTAAACGTGCGAAATCTAATACGTCTGATGTCGGAGGAAAGATTCAATTTTGATGGCATATTCTCGGATTTATGATCATATTTTGAAGTGGGTTTATGTTTTTAAATAAATAAACACGCTAAGAAATGTTGACGAATATTTCGATTGGAATAAGGTAAGTAGTTAATTGTTTGAGACGATAGCGCATGCTAGAGTCAAATGCAATTATTTAGCAGTCGGTGTCACTTGCTCGTTGTGGTAGAGCAACGTTTACTACCAAATAAATTTCGGGATGTCATTTTTTTACCTTCCGTATATAAGTCGAAATGGAGTATAAGACGAATGCCGGACTTCTACTGAAAAATGTATCGAAATGAAATGAAATGAAATGGGGTTTAACGTTCTACTGTTCTGCTCTGAACTGGGCTAAAAAAATGTATCGACTTATGATCCAAAAAATACGGTAATTTTGGAGGAATTTGAAACGGGTATGGATCAGCAGTAGTTGGCATGCTTTCATTCTATACTAATACGATGTCACATAATTTTGTAGGAATATTCTTGACATAAATTTGAATACCGTACGGAAATTAATCATGAAAAATAACGAGGTTCACCTATTTTTTTTATTACGCAATAATTTGAATATTTTGTTGACACGAGATTCTTAAATGTTGTTTGAAAACGCCTCCTTAAATAACGATAAGAGTTATGCCCCTTTATTTTCAGGAAAAAATGTCCGACAAGAAAAATTTTGAAATCCCATCACTGGTTTCTACTCACACCCCATCAGTTTATCATGAAAGAACAGGAATTTTACAGAACATGATTCTGTGGTACAAGATTGCATGTCTGGTTTATTCCTATATTGATTTTGTCATTCGGATGAGATGAAAAACCGAGGTCCCGTGTACACATTGGCGTGCACGTAAAAGATCCCTTGACAGTTGGAATTCGATATAAGAGTAGGCCGTAGTGCCGCTGTCCGGGCAAAATTTCCCTCATAGCACACTGTATGGCGTATGCCTGTCTTCATTAGCCCAGTTCGGAGCAAAACAGTAGGACGTTATCATTTCATTTCATATTGATTTTGAGAATGTGTTTTTAGTGGTTCTGACATATGTTTACTTACAAGGCACCACGAGCGACCAGACCTTCTACATTTTTATCATCTATTCGTAATGCTCTATTTAAATACTGCATGGCTTCTAAATAATTTCCTTTCTTAAACAATGTCACACCTTGTAAAACACTGTAAACAAACAATAGATAAACAGAAAAATAAAAAGATTTTATATAAAAAAATTTGCTATAAAAATATATCTTACAAGCTGGATGTATCAAAATTTTAATTTTGGGTTCAAAACCCCCTTACTGCCTGAAAGTTTTAGATTAACAGATCATAAGGCGATGGGGCAGCCATCCCCCCCCCCCCCCCCCCAAGCCTGCCCCAAGCCGTTAAATACATAAATAATCGATAGAATATAATTTTCCTACCACAGAGTTAATTTAATGAGAAGCCATTTAAAGGTGATTAAAAAGATCAAAATCTAAGACCATAATTGTATAGTTCCTATTTGCTTATATCCAGAAAGTAACAATGGATTTCTGTTACTTTTGCGTTTGAAGGTTGACATATCCTGACAACTAATAGCGAGGTCAGACGTGAAATTCAAAATGGCGTCTAAGCCCTTACTATTCATGTTAGGGGAACAAGTGTGGTGTCTATATCTAGGTTTCAGGGGTAAAACAGTCCTTTACAACGTCATTTTAAAAACCAAGATGGTCGCCACCAAACTATATAAACTGTCACAATGAGCGTTCTAGAATGTTGATTTTGGTGTCTATACAAATCCCATCAATTTTGAGTTATGACATCACTCGATCAGCTGAGGGAAGTGCACTTGTATGTCCCCTCACTTTGGGAGTAAAAAAAAAAAATGATGGGTGGTAACTCAGTCATGGGAAGGAAGGGTGAAATTTAAAATGGCGTCCAATATGGCCACCATTCAATATAAATGACCATAACGCCATTACTATTCATGCTAGGGGAACACGTTTGGCATCTATATCTAGGTTTTAGGGGGTGAGGCAACCTGTTAAAACCAACCTCTAGACGGAAAACGCATGATGTCATCGTGAAATCCATGATGGTAGCTAACAAACTATATAAAGTGTCACAATGAGTATCCTATAATGTTGAGTTTAATGTCTATACAAATCCAACCAATTTTGCATTATGACGTCAGTTGATTAGCTGAGGGAAGTCCTGTGTGCATTTGTGTGTCCCCTCAAATTGGGTGTAAAAAAACATGGGTGGCAACTCAGAATCATGGGAAAGAAGGGTTAAATTCAAAATGGCGACCAAGATGGCTGCCATGCAATATAAATTACCATAACACCCTTACTTTTCATGTTAGGGGAACACGTTTGGTGTCTATACCTAGGTTTTAGGGGTAAAGCAGTCCTCTACAACCACCCACTAGATGAAAAACGCATGACGTCATGGTGAAAAGCAAAATGGTAGCCACCAAACTATATAAACTGTACAATGAGCATCCTAGAACGTTGATTTTGGCGTCTGTACATATTTTATAGGGGTCAATCCATCCATTAAAACCATTCACCAAGTTATTTAAAAACAGGATTTAGACGCTATTATCAGCTGCAAATGTAATCATTAATTGGTAGAGTTGTCTTATCATTCCTTTCTGAGATTAACTTGATCATCTGCAACCAAATATAGTCCGGTGGCTAGAGGAATTTAAGGGATTTTAACACAAAATTAAGCAGTTTTATTCTGCAAAAAATATCGGGATTAGCCCTTTAAATTAATTACAGCGTGATCGTGAAACTGTAATATAGCATGTTAGTGGTAATTAACAGGGGGAAAGATGCTTTTTAGTTTTTTATGGTCTACTGGTTGAGTACTATTGTCCTATAGTCCGGTGGCTGAAGGGGGGAATCGCCACCCGAGCTGTGAATTTATGAGACCAATGACATTGTCCCCCAATTGTAGACATTGGACCCCCATATATCTCGAAAAGCCCCCTCAAACGCCTGATCACCACCCAGATTCTGGTCTAGAAAAACTTGGTTTTATAAATTCACAGCTCGGGTGGCGATTCCCCCCCTTCAGCCTCTGGACTATAGGACAATAGTACTCAACCAGTAGACCATAAAAAACTAAAAAGCATCTTTCCCCCTGTTAATTCCCACTAACATGCTATATTACAGTTTCACGATCACGCTGTAATTAATTTAAAGGGCTAATCCCAATATTTTTTGCAGAATAAAACTGCTTAATTTTGTGTTAAAATCCCTTAAATTCCTCTAGCTAAGGGCCGAGCAACTAACTCACTATTTGTGATATGTTTTCAAACAACTTAAACCCGCCAGTCTTCATCTGGAAATGGAGACCAGTGTCCCAAGCTGTATTATGCGGTGTCTGCATAAAACTAGACTTTTATTTTATAATAATAATGTGTAGGTGAATTTTACCTTTCGTTATCAAGTAGAGCACATGGGCCATTCACTATATAGACCTCTCAAGGAACGGGAATCAATTATCAGGTCACCCAACGAAAAAACTGATCCGAAATCTTAAAAGGGTTACGTGTCCGGATAAGCAGTTTTGATGTCCGCGTCCAAACGACTCAATATTTTAAGCTGGAATTTTGAGAGAAGGTAAATACACCATTCCTCTATATTTTGGCGCTTAAATTTCATTTGTACTTCGACTTTTATTTTTGAGACTCTTTTGAAATCGGGATAGTCCCTTTAAACATTAAATTTTCACAGATTGTCATTCGAAAGATAAGGAAGGATTCAACTGTATGAAATAGACTGTAGCCAATTGGAACTGACTTTCTGCTATCACATCATATGGCATAATTTGCACAAACAAATATAAATTGACACTCTACCTGAAAAAAGTAAACAATTACTGGTTGGAGTTTACTCAAAAAGCATTCACATACTCTCAGCCTTACTTTATAGGCCATAATTATTGACATTTATCTTGATTTTTAGAAAATAAAGAGAAATGATGCTAATCCAAAAAAGAGTTTACCTTTGATGAGCTTTTCTAGCAGATTGTAATTTTCTCATATTTTCAGCATATTCTGGTTCAGGGATCTTTAACCTGCAGAAAAACATGTGGTTACCATGCAAGATAAGCTCACATTTTGTAAGAGATGGGCAGAGAACAAGCTAAAAAAAAAAAACCCGCGGCTGCCAGGCAGGATACGCCCACATTTTCGAGAGATGGATAGAGAACAAGCTAAAAAGGAAGTGATTTTTCCTACAATCAAGGGCCATAATTCAGAAAATTACAATTCGGTATGCGCAAATATCGAAAGGAACCGAGATCTTTGGTTCAACAAAATCGGATAAAAATTATGATCTCTATAGGGTCCACAAGCTAAAAACGCGATTTTTCGTACAATCAGGGGCCATAATTTAGGAAGTTACATTCCGATATGCACGAATATCGAAAGGAACCGAGATCTTTGGGTTATAAACTTACATTTCGAGTTTCAACAAAATCGGATAAAAATTGTGATGTCTATAGGGTCCACAACCTTGATATACCATATTTTTACTCTATTTGAGAACTAAGGGCAGCCATTTTGTCTGTCAGTTTTGGGCCGATTTTCGAACTCAGTCATCCATAGGGTGTAACGGTGATATAATATTACGTTTTTTTAAATCGGATAAAAATTATGACCTCTATAGGGTCCACAAGCTAAAAACACAACTTTTTCGTACAATCAGGGGCCATAATTCAGGAAGTTACGTTCCGATATTAGCGAATATCGAAAGGAACCAAGATCTTTGCGTTATAAGCATACATTTCAAGTTTGAACCAAATCGGATAAAAATTGTGGCCTCTACAGTGTTCACAAGCTAAAAACGTGATTTTTCGTACAATCAGGGGCCATAAATCATGAAGTTACAGTCCGATACATGCCAATATCGAAAGGAACCAAGATCTTAGGGTGATAAACCTATATTTCAAGTTTCCTTGAAATTGGATAACCAGCGGCTGCCAGGCAGGATACGCCCACATTTTCGAGAGATGGATAGAAAACAAGCTAAAACGAAAGTGATTTTTCCTAATTCAGGAAATTACAATTCGGTATATGCGCAAATATCGACAGGAACCAAGATCTTTGAGTTATAAACTTACATTTCAAGTTTCAACAAGTCGGATAAAAATTGTGACCTCTATAGGGTCCACAACCTTGATATACCATATTTTTACGTTATTTGAGAACGAACGGCGGCCATTTTGTCTGTCAGTTTTGGGCCGATTTTCACGAAATTCGAACTCAACTGTCCTTTGGGTTTAACGGTGATATAATAGTACGTTTTTTTAAATCGGATAAAAATTATGACCTCTATAGGGTCCATAAGCCAAAAAACGCGTTTTTGCGTACAATCAGGGGCCATAATTCAGGAAGTTATGGTCCGATATGCGCGAATATCGACAGGAATCGAGATCTTTGGGATATAAACTTTTATTTCAAGTTTCAACAAAATCGGATAAAAATTGTGACCTCTATAGGGTCCACAACCTTAATATACCATATTTTTACGCTATTTGAGAACGAATGGCAGCCATTTTGTCTGTCAGTTTTGGGCCGATTTTCATGAAATTCGAACTCAACCGCCCTTAGGGTTTAACGGTGATATAATAATACGTTTTTTTAAATAAGATAAAAATTATGACCTCTATAGGGTACACAAGCCAAAAAACCTGTTTTTGCGTACAATCAGGGGCCATAATTCAGGAAGTTACGGTCCGATATGCGCGAAAGGACTCGAGATCTTTGGGTTATAAACTTACATTTCAAGTTTCAACAAAATTGGATAAAAATTGTGACCTCTACAGTGTTCACAAGCCAAAAACGTGATTTTTCGTACAATCAGGGGCCATAATCCATGAAGTTATGGTTCGATAGATGCCAATATCGAAAGGAACCGAGATCTTAGGGTGATAAACCTATATTTCAAGTTTCATTGAAATCGTGGACGGACGGACGGACGGACAGGGGCGACGACGTATAAAAATTGTGACCTGTAGACTGTTCACAAACAATTGTGGACGGACGGACGGACAGGGGCCACGACAATGAAAATGTGGGCGTATAAAAAGCAATTTTTCGTACAATCAGGGGCAACAATCCATGAAGTTATGGTTGGATATGCATGAATATATAAAGGAACCAAGATCTTTAGGATACAAACATACAATTTAAGTTTCATCAATATCGGATAAAAGTTGTGACCTCTAGAGGGACCACAAGCTAAAAATATGATTTTTCGTAAAATCACGGGCCATAATCTATGAAGTTACAGATATTGGCCAATATCGAAGGGAACTGAGATCTTCTGGATATAAATATATAACTTAAGTTTAATCAAAATGGGATAAAAAATGTTACCTGTAGAGTGTCCACAACCTTGGTATTACTTAGTTTTAGTTTATACTACAGTATTAGGGGACGAGGAGCTGGCCATTTTGTCTGGCAGTTCCGCTCCTATTTTCACAAAACTTTACTGTCATTGGGGTGTAACAGTGATATATTTGAACGTTTTTTATAATCAGATAAAAATTGTGACATCTATGATCTAGAGGCTCCACAAGCTAAAAACGTGATTTTTCATACAATCAGGGGCCATAATCCAGAAATTTATAATCCGATATGCGTGAATATATAGAAAGGAACCTGAACCTTTGGGATATAAACATAAATTTTAAGTTTCATCAAAATCAGACAACAATTGTGACCTCTAGAGGGTCCAAAACCTTGGTATAACATACAACACTGTAATTAACCCAGGTATCATTTAATCTTGTGTATCTAGCACTAATTTCTTTCACATTCGTTAAATATGATATCTTTGTTTAAAAATATGATATCTTTGTTTAAAAATATGATATCTTTGTTTAAAAATATGTAAAACTTGTTTAAAATCACCAAAGATAGGTTGCCAGGCAACGAAACATATGCCCACAGCAGCTAAATCGTCCGGGCAGTCAACAAGTGTTGTCTCATATTTTTACTTCTTTCGGTAATGAATCATCTATAATACACTGAAATCTGATTAAGAGTAACAACTCATAAAGAAATTATCAGAAAACCATTAGAATTAATTTGTTTGGTTTTTATAAAGTTCTGCCCCATGCTAACGTTTAGTATACAAAACTTTTAATATCATGGATTTAGCTGTTCAATATACTTGTTCGTCTCAAGCTCTTAAACTCTGTGTATCAATCTGAAGTCAATCCGATGATAACTTTAGCCTCTAGAGTGTCACAAGATTTTTCAAAGTGATCAAGGGCCATAACTCTGGCAGTAATTATCGGAAATTGCTGAAAATCAATAGGCTTCTTCGTCTCATGACCTTAAACACTGTGTATAAATTTAAAGTCAATCGGATATTAACTTTAGCCTCTAGAGTGTCCACAAAATTTTTCAAAGTGATCAAGGGCCATAACACTGGCAAAACTTATCGGAAATCGCTGAAAATCAATATGATTTTTCGTCTCATGACCTTAAACACTGTGTATCAATTTAAAGTCAAACGAATATTAACTTTAGCCTCTAGAGCGTCCACAAGATTTTTCAAAGTGATCAAGGGCCATAACTCCGCAGTAATTATCAGAAATCGCTGAAAATCAATAGGCTTCTTCGTCTCATGACCTTTAACACTGTGTATAAATTTAAAGTCAATCAGATATTAACTTTAGCCTCTAGAGCGTCCACAAGATTTTCCAAGTGATCAAGGGCCATAACTCTGGCAGTAATTATCGCAAATCGCTGAAAATCAATAGGATTCTTCGTCTCATGACCTTAAACACTGTGTATAAATTTAAAGTCGATCGGATATTAACATTGACCTCTAGAGCGTCCACAAGGTTTTTTGAAGTGATCAAGGGCCATAACTCTGGCAGTAATTATCGCAAATCGCTGAAAATCAATAGGATTCTTCGTCTCATGACCTTAAACACTGTGTATAAATTTAAAGTCAATCGGATATTTCAATGTGGGCGTATAAAAATGCATGGCTTATTTTCACAATCCACTCCCTCCGTAGCTTTTCATCTTTGGTATGTTGTGAAAGGACTGCTTCTTGTCAATGTCGTACAGAGAAGCGCTTGTACAGAACAGAACACAACAGTGAAGTGCCCTTGTTTACATTGACAACGTCCGCAGCCGGCTGTGCCAGCTTTGTATACCGAGCCTCGTTTTCGAATTTATCGTGAAAAAGTTCTATACAGTGCCAAATCACAGTTGATATGATTATAAATAAGTTGAAAACAAAATATAAGTTGGAATATTATCGCAAAATGGCTGCCTTTCAAAAAATGGCATCCCATACTATGACCAACCCCCAATGTCACGCCTACATTGTATTTTTACTTTGTGTGTCAATGTGTTTTGATTATCTTGAAAACTTTTCATACTTATTCCTTATACCTTTAGGATGACCACTATTACTTTTGGGGCATGCCCGATCCCATGGGGAATAAATACCCCCTTTTTTTATGTTTATCGCCTGGGGGTTTGCAATTCTGAAAGGATCATCCTGGAATGTGACATTGCCCCTGGGTGTCGGGCATGCACAAACATCAATAGTTGCTGTCCTTTGGAAGTTCAGAATTGCAAATCTGGTGTTGCTGTGCACCTGGGGTCGGGCATGCACCAACACGAGCATCGCTAACGCTGCAATATACATCCACATTCCTGCTTTGATTGATTTGGTACTTTTTAAAATGAAGAGAATGAAATATGAAATGGCTGTAATGTGACAAGAGGCAAAGAAGGGTTTGCTTTGCCAAATTTACAGACAAAACATTAACAAAAAAGTGAATGTGATACTGCCCCAGGGGGTCGGGGCATGCACCAAAATAAATAGTTGCTGTCTTTACAGTGTAAGGAATAAATATGCAAAGTTTCAAGATGATCCATTCAGAATTGCAGCCTGTAAACAATAAATACAACCAGCGACTGCCAGGCAGGATACGCCCACATTTTGCAAGATATGGATAGAGAACAAGCTAAAAACAAACAGGATTTTTTTGTACAATCTGGGGCAATAATCAAGAAAGTTATGTTCTGAAATGCACAAATA